TATAAAAATCAGAGGAAAAAAAGTCATATTGTCTTGTAGAATCTGAGTTGTAGGACTATACAGTATTAAATTTTCATTCAATTCAATGTTTCAGATTCCTGTGGAATATTTCCAAAGTGACACAACAGAACAGAAGCTGAAAGCTTTTGTTCAGCCTCGGGTACAATGTAAGCCTCAAATTACATGTACTGTATACCAGGATATTTTCACCCCGTTATATTAGGGCCCCGCAAGAATTTGCGGGTGCCCTATAGTAATCACTCTGTCTGTCCGTCTGTCTGTCATTCTTCCGTCCACAAATTTTCTGTTTTTTTCTAATAACTTTTCTTCTGATTGCCCAATCAAGTTCAAATTTGGTATGGTAGTTCAGTAGGCAAAATACATGTTTTGATGCTAAGTTTGGTTCTCTGTGTCTTCTGGTTTGGAGCTGGGGTGGTGAGGTAGATTCCATAACTATGCATAAGCATGGGCAAAGAGAGATAACTGATTACAATGTTACCATTTTATACTTGGAAGTCTGTGAAATATTTTTGTCCTTTGGGATTAATTAACCTTCCACATGAAGAAAATCCTAAGCATTATCTTTATCTGTCACATTGAGATCAATTACTGTACTGCCTCCGTCTGCAAATGAACTTTGTTTTGAAGTTAAGGTCAATTTTGTATGATGTGTACATGTAGTATTGTGTACATTCTCTGAAATATGGATTTAGAATAATGTTTACACTTTATTTTGGTTAAGATACTGTACACAATGATTTATGATAATTTTATTGAAATCTATAACCAAGATACATGTATATATTAAGATATCCTTTTTTATTATTACACTTACTACTTATTTTATTTTTTAATTTATTTTATTTTTTTCTGCCTTAATGCTGTTAATTTCAACAGGCAATCAGATAATAACCCCATTCTGTCAGTGCTGAAAAAAGTTCTTATTGTAAATTTGGAAGAAAAGGATGAGAGAGCAGTACAATTAATCCCCTGGGATTAATTATCTTGCTTGCTGCAGAAAATTTAGAGGCTTATCTTTATCTGTCACATGAAGATTAATGAACATCTTTGTCTGCAACTGATGTTTGTTTTGAAGTTGAGGTCAACCTTGGGTGATATTTGCATTCACTGAAGGATTGCATTTTATAAAACACTTGCTTAATTTTTTTTTAAAAACACAATTAATTTGGGTTTTTTTTTTCATAAGACATGAAGTTTTCCTTGTTTTATGCAAATACAAGGTTACTATTTACAGGTTTTTGGACATTCAGGAATACAGTTGTTACTTATAATCTTCATATATATTTTAAAAAAAAATGTAGTCAACTAAAACTCTCATTCAATAAGCTGAACCCTTATATTTTTACCCCTCAGCGGGGCACTTGCTGACTGGTCAGTTTTCTAGTTTTCACCACTGTCGCCCTCTCCTTGATTGGGCGAATTTAAATGGGGCGAATTCAAATTACACCTCACAATTTCTTAAACAGAACTATGGCTGGGCGAATTTAAAATGGGGCAAAATTGTTCACAAGTTCAAAAGGGCGAAATAAAACCGGTCGAAAATAACCCTGTATACAGTATATGTCAGTTGCTTTTCTCTGCCCTAATTAATAGATACAATTATATTGTCAGTGTCTAAATTAAAGTTGTTTCTTTAAAACTGAATTTAAAATGTTAAATTCCTGATAGTACCTTATGCCTGGGATGAGCCAATGTTGAGTCACTCAATAACACTGAGAGTTAAGGGAGGAACTAGTGCCACCTACAATATGGACAAACTGGAGGAAGGGAAGCAACTCTGTTATCCCAACTTTATTTACCTCAGAGCATCAGCTACCTTTCCAAGGTGTGTTCTATCTAATAAGCTTGATCAATATTAGTCTAGAATTGGAAATCAATTTTCTGTAATAAAATGTTGGTTTTGATGTAGTTTCACTTGCAGGTTATGACAACATGAAATCATGCAATCCTTCATTTTATAATTAATTAATCTTGAATGTTTAAATTTTAATTATTTCTATTTTAAGAAGGTCGACACAGGATAGTCCTCACACAGAACTGGTTTTAGAAGTTGTTCAAGATCAGTACATCAAATTTTGTAAAAAGGTAAAATGATATGTTTTGCAAAATACATGTAGCTTTAGAAGTAATAGCTTTTTTCTTCATTTTTCGATGAATGAGGTTTGGCATAATGATGACTAAGGAAAGAAATAGGAATAAATATGCGGAAACATTAATAAGATAACTTGACTGTTGAGTAATTTTGGAGTTTAAATCAAATTAAGGTTTTAAGTCCTTCTAGGTTATTATGTGAATTCAATTTATGTGCTGTGAATGCATCTAACATGTTTTTGACAAAATGTCTGTAAAGCTAGGATATTGGTAATTAGATAATTTATTGATTAACAGGAGATTGGTAATCGTAACCAGTTATGGAGAATGACCAGCGGGGGTATGTTAGAGCATGAGGGGTCGATATCTCCCCGAGACCCCCACAATCGGTCCTCCTACCCCTCAGGGAAGAGTATGGTACTGGACATAGATGACATTGCCCCCAGACCGGGCAGGATTGTCCCCCTCACCCTCAGAAAACGAGACGAGCGCAGGAAAGCCACACAGACCTGGAAGTTCACTGAGGTAGATTTTGTATTGGTTAAATAAACATTTTATGGTTTTAATCAATCATATTTGTTTTAAAAAGTCTGTAGAAATCAAGATAAAAAAAAAAGGCTATTGCTAAAATTAAATTTTCAAAATGATGATGCAAGAAGTGAGTAAATTTTGAATATTTGTGTGTATACAGTTGAATTTTATCTCAATGACACTTTACAATGTTTAACTTGATTATTGTAAAAAAAGTAACAAACAAACAATGTACCTAGAAAAAAAAGTAAAGAAAGTGTTTTTAGAAATTTAAATTTAAAGGTACTTGGACACAGATTTGAAGTTAATATTTTCTCATTTTTTCTGTATAATATCACGAATTATATATTTTAATAGCATTACACACAAAAATTAATTAAAAATCTTGTTTCATTTAAAAGTTATTAAAACTTTAAATTTTTTGGCGGGTTTGATTGACTCATCCTTGCACTTTCACAAATTTTTACTTTATTCTTAATCCTTAGGAAAAGTGGCAATTTTGATGTGTTTTAATGAGAAATATTAAAACTTTTATCAAGAAAAATAATTTTATTCAGAGTAGAGATGTTAGAAAGCAAAACATCTTTACAAGTATCGTCATTCCGAACTAAGAGATGCGTACAGAGTTTAGCAAATCGAGCACACTTGTGTTATGTACACAGTTTTTGTAAACAGGGCTCGAGTTCTGTTATTGTTTTTATTTAGAATTCACCGGGTGCGTTCAATCGTCACAGTCTGCTTACCACAACTGCACGGACTGACAATATATTGTGTGTTTGTTTTGCTATCGAACGTGTCTACTCTGAATATTCTGGATTATAGTATTAATATTTTTCATTTATACAAAACGAGATTGCCACTTTTCCTAAGGATTAAGAATAAAATTAAATTTGTGAGAGTGCAAGGATATGTCAATCAAACCCGCCGAAAAATTTGAAATTTCAATATCTTTTAAACGAAATAAGATTTTTAATTAATTTTTGTGTGAAATGCTATTAAAATATATAAGTTGTAATATTATAGAGAAAATAATAACTTCAAATCTGTGTCCAAGTACCTTTAAGATTTATAATTATGAATTTTAATATGACTTAAAAGAATTTTACCTTGCTTGCACTCCCAAGGTTTTACTCTATGGCTGTTGTTTCAGGATGGTCGATTGTGCTGTGTTGATGGTGCTATGTGTGTACAGACACTGGGAGGGGGGGAGTGTCTGAGGGACTCGGCTGTAGCTGTTGTGGGGCCTGGTCCCCCCTCAGGGAGGAGTGTCCCCGCCCACATGAAGATTGACAGACAGAGGCTCCTCCCAGGGTCCGGCTGTCTGGCTGTCAGGACCGTCATGGATGGACCAATCAGAGTGCTGCAAATCACTGATGTTTCTCAAGGAGTAAGTTTGTTGTCCCCAAACAAAAGGCATAAGTTGACTGTTTTATGGAAAATCTCAACTTTTCTGAAGTTGATAAATGTAAAACGTTGTCGATGAGCAGTTTAACAACTTTACCCTTGATTTGTGTAGTCTGTTGCTGAAGTAACAAAGAACTACCAAGACTGGGTCGTTTGTGAAGAAGATAAGGTGGCTGAGATAGAAAATAAATCAACAGAGAAGAAATCAAGCTTAGAGGTCAGTAGAAAATAAATCAACAGAGAAGAAATCAAGCTTAGAGGTCAGTCATGAACTCTTAATGATTGTGATAGAAAATGTAGTTGACTTAAAATATTGATTCCTCCTATGTATTGTAGATTTGTATGAGTCTGAAGGATGGATTGGGTTTATCCCTGGTAAATTACAGCCCTGAGGAGCTGGTCTATATCTCACTTCAAAACATTTCCCTGGACTACATCTCTAACCCTAATTACATGACTGTGGATGTAGCAGTAGCCAATGTACAGGTATGTGCAAGACAATTTTTGATTTTTGAAATACAGTACCAGTGATTAGGTAGAAGTCAGTGGCACATCACCTATCAAACAAGATTTCAGAGGGGTTTTTTCAGTCAAATATTGTAGTATTAAGAATTATTTTGTAAACAAACAGAATGCCAAATACAGTTGATATATACTGTGAGTGTAAATTTGAAGAATGCTTGATCAATGATATTAATTTCAGATTTAAAAGAATTTTTCAATTTTATGATTTGATGTAATAGATAAGTACAATATACGCCTTGTGTTATTTTGTTTGACTTGTTTGAATTTTATGATTTGATGTCAGAAATAAGCTCTGTATACAGCTTATGTTATTTTGTGTGACTTGTTTGTAAAGGTGGATAATCAGCTGTTCACAGCCACCAGACCTGTTCTGTTGTACATCACACCTACCCCTAGAAGAGACATCCCAGAAAATACTCCAGCTCTCCATGTGGTGGCCCAGAAAATTCCCAACTCAAAGTGGAATGCCGAGATTTATAAAGTAAATATTCTATATTTTAAGCTCACCAGAGTCACTCAGATGACATATTGCTATTGTTTTTGTCTGTCATTGCATGTTGTAAGTCAATCATAAACTTGATCATTTTTTGCTTCTTCTCTGAAACCACTGAACCAATTTCAACTAATGTTGGCATATATAGCATCCAGTGGTGAACAGGCGCAAAAAAATTAAATTATTGATTAATATTTAGTGTACAAGATGTGTAGAGCTAAAAATTATTTTTTAGCACTTGATTGTAAACATGAAGAAACTGAGCATTCAGGTTGAGGAGGAACTGTTATGGAAGCTGTTACAGTTTTGTGGATTTGGGTCAACTGACCACCTGGATGAGAAAGTCACAGAGGGAGAGGATCCCAGAAAGTAAGTGGTGGACTGAGATAAAACTAGTGATATTAAATGACTGTTACAGAATAGAGTAAAATTTATTTACAGTCTTGATACATTTAATGATACACATTTATATAATGTATGGAATATTGCATTTTGTTGGTTCGTTTGATTTCTAGTATATGGATTTATTATTATATACAGATACATTGAGGCAAAATGATACTTTACATACTTAACGTACACCAACTTTTTACAGAGCACTTGCAGCGGCCACTTCAGTGAAGACCAAGAGATATTACTTTGGACTCCTGAAAATCCACACGAGTCGTGTCAATCTGAGCATGCTCACTGCCTCTAAACTGTCAGCTGACCTGAAGGCTCTGAAGAGAGACATGTCTCTACCACTCGTCAGATTTGAAGATGCCAAAGTGGATCTAGGTAATGTTTGAAGAAGGAAAATGGTGTACCTAAAATCTAAATAAATAAATTACTCAACATCAGGTTTTTCTTTTTCAATTTTAAGATTACACTCATGCCCTAAATGTATGAATCTGATGTTTTGTAAGTCTAGTTTTCAAGATATTGTAATATTCTCAATCTTCAACAGATCCTTTCATCAAAAGTCACCTGTTTGAAACCATTGTCTTCCTTCAGAAAGAGATAAGATTCCACTACACTGAGGTAGTAACATTTATGTTAGCCCTTAAAATAACATTTCTTTTTTCTAACTCACTCTGTTATGTAATTGAAGTTTTCAAACAAAACCTTGTCTTTTGACTTGAACAGTTTCCTTATATAATCCTGTTCATTGTATGAACAACCTTGTTTGACAGGAGCTGAAGAGTCAGGCAGCCAAGATCCTGGGTTCTGTGGACTTTCTGGGGAATCCACTGGGTCTGTTTAATGATGTCACAGAGGGAATTTCTGGTCTGATCAATGATGGCAATGTGGGGGGTCTTCTGAAAAACGTCACACACGGAGTGTCAAACTCTGCTGCCAAGGTAATATGATTATTATTTTAGACACTAATATTATTCTGAAATTTAATGGGCTGGACCAGTTACCAATTTCTAGTTTAAAATACGTGTAGTCCGAAATTCCCGGCTTTCTGATATTTGTGAGGGTGTTCTTGAAAATGTGAAAAAATAGCATTAATATTTGATTTTTCAATATGCATAGACCATACATTTGTACATTCATAAAAATTCATCAAATTGTTCTTATGAATCAGCATGATAAAGTATTAAAGAATTAATCATTTAATTAAGAAATAATTTATAAAGTCCGCGTTTTCGTGAATCTTGCAGAATAACCTCCTCGGTCTCGAAATGTTGTTTGAAAGATGAAAGCCGAAGCGTTAGCCGAGGCTTTTATATTTCAAACAACATTTCGAGGCTGAGGAGGTTATTCTGCATCATTCACGACAACACAAACTTTATTTCTATTCTTCCATGTCTACTAAAATTGCTAAAATACGGCTGATCGTTTCCTCTAGAGAGAAACTAATTAAGTCACCATGTCTCGATTACGCTGTTCCATTTAACACCAGAGGTAAAATTTGCTTGCTTACCTGTGTATGGAATGCAGGCAATTTGAGCTTTCGTTACATTAAAATTTTTTAAATTACAAATTTGCTCGTAATATTTATTGATCAGTTATAATGAATATACACTAACAAAATCATGTTCCTGTTTTACTACTCTATTGGGACTAAAATGATTTTTCACGTTGTTCAAATGTGTAGGGAGGTCCGTGGAAAAGCCCCGCTTCCCTATAAAAACCGACATTCATCAGCAACTTTATTCAATTTAAAGTGTTTATACTGCCAAAGACGAAACATTGATGCGGTCTAAACAAGTATATCATTCTACAGCCAAACATGCATTTGAATTGTTCAGATTTGATACGTGTTTCTGATCTGATAAGTTTTTGTTGACGTACGTGATTTATTGGAGAATAATGTCTGCCGGTTTTCTTTGATCTTTACAATAATCGTGGTAGAATTTTTGTTAATCCTCGGTCACACAACATGACTGCCTATTGTTTTATGGTGTTTAAACAGGTTGTAGGTTCACTGTCTGATGGACTTGGAACACTGAACATGGACAAGAATTACCAGGACAGACGGGAGCAGTTGAGGACCGGTGCCCAGTCCAGCGGGGGGCATATACTGGCCGGGGTCAAAGGTTTTGGTAATGGACTGTTTGGCGCTGTGACCAGTATATTTACTCAGCCCTATGATGGCTTCAAGGAAGATGGTATTGAGGTAATTCATAGTAGGAACTTCAATGTGCTATGAATATTTTTAGAAGTTGAAGACTAGTTGAAAGGGAAAATTTTTGAAAAAACTCATACAGTAATTGATTTTTTAGCTGTAATTTGCATTATGTGTTATCAGGGCCTTGTGACAGGGATAGGGAAGGGAGTGATTGGTACGGTGACTAAGCCTGTAGTGGGAGTACTCGACCTTGCCTCAGGAGCAGCTAATGCTATCAGGGACACCAGCAGTAGCAGCTCTCGTATCAGTCCCCCGCCCCTCCGACTCCCACGGTGCTGTCACGGGGCGGGGATGCTGCTGCCTCCTTATTCTCAAAATGATGCAAAGTCACAGAAACTACTGCATGATCTCAACAAGAAGAACCTGGAGGAATTGTAATTATTAGATAAAAGAAAAAATCAACTATCAATTAAATCAGACTTTCGCATGTATTAAGTCGTGAGTTTTTGTATGAATACTCATATAAGAAAATTTGTAATCTTTTTCTTATATTTATGTATTTATTAATAAGTAATCTGTTTGTATGTAAGTATGTTATGGTAAGAAATGGTAAAAAATTGAAGACCACTGTGAAACAAAGTGGGTGTAAAATGTTAAAAGACTAGAAAGTAATTAAATCTTTAAATTGTTTATGTGGTGGTTGTAGTTTCATAGCTGTAGAACAGCTGAGGAGAGAAGACAGACTGATGTCTCTGATCACCTCTAAACAGGTGTACTTCTTACTGGGGGGTGAGGCTGACTCTGGGAACATCATTCTCAAGGTCCCCCACAAAGAGCTGTTCCAGTGTCTGGTGGTGGAAATCAGTAAGTGATGGGGGCGATTCCAGTCAAATGGTTTTAACATAATTACATGACTGTTGAGTCTTGAAAAGTATATTTAGAGTGATTGTATCTTTCTTTGTTGATTTTCAGAGGGCAGATATTACCTGGAGCTTGTGAGGGTACAAACATCAGATTCTGATCAACAGAGGGTCCCCCAGATAAGATGTGACAAACAGACCGTGGCTGAAAGGGTAAGTGTGACATATAGACCGTGACTGAAAAGATAAGTGTGACAAACAGACCATTGCTGAAAGGGTAAGTGTGACAAACAGACCGTGACTGAAAGGGTGAGTGTGACAAACAGACCATGACTGAAAGGGTAAGTGTGACAAACAGACCGTGACTGAAAGGGTAAGTGTGACAAACAGACCATGACTGAAAGGGTAAGTGTGACAAACAGACCGTGATGACTGAAAGGGTAAGTGTGACAAACAGACCGTGACTGAAAGGGTTAGTTTGACAGACCATGACTGAAAGGCTTAGTGTGACAAACAAACCGTGACTGAAAGGGTAAGTGTGACAAACAGACTGTGACTGAAAGGGTTAGTGTGACAGACCATGACTGAAAGGGTTAGTGCGACAAACAGATCATTTAATTATTGGCTTTATTCGAGAATCATGATTACATGTACATGTATTAAAATGTACATATACCCTGGATATTAATGAAAACACTGCAGATTTGCTTGTCTGTATTCGGCCATATATTTACTGGAAATGAAAAACTGTGTAAACCACAGAGTTCTTGTAAACTGTGTAACTTTGACTGGGACATAAAAATTCATCTTGTCAAAAAGTTCATACATTGGAAATGCAGGTTAACACAAAGAAGGCTGGAACACTACCAGTATGCTTCACTGTTATCTATTTCTTGTCAGGTGAGTCAACAGATCAACTACGCCCATAATTTGTATGAAGAACAACAACACACTCTGACGTCTACAGAGGCTGAAGATACATAGTGGATAAATAGAGATACATAGTGGATGAATAAAGCCATCAGGAACAAATGTTAATAAATAGAGCCATCAGGAACAAACATGTCATATGTGGTTTACTTTATCATACGTGAATAACTTTATAACTTGATGATAGAAACTTTGAAAAACTCTGCATAATGAACAATTTTCCTCATACACATTTCCAGGAATGTATTTTGATTATACAATTATTTATTGTAATTGTAACTTGATATTAAAGATATGATTGCAAGACTTAGTTTAAGAGATTGTTATAATTAATGCATTTATCTGTCAGTAAATGAAACATTCAACAGCTGGTTAATCATAATGTTGTGCTTCAATTCTAATGATAAACAAGTGTTCTGAATGTATTAAATAATCAGATTTGATTATAAACACATGATAAGATTTGCATGTGTATGATTATGATTTTATTGAAGCTCTTTCTTTTTAATATAGACATGGATCTATATGGCTTAGAGTTTTTGTTTGTTATTTTGCCATTTGTTGATTATTAAAGCATATAATGTTCATTATATTTGTTTTTAATTCACTTTCTAATTAAATGCAAGTCAGTGTATATAATTTCTTTTTGAATGAATTTACCTGAAGTGGTTAATAAAAAAAGGTGTATTAAACTGTTTCAACAAGGGTTATACCGTATAACTTGGTAAGATATTAATTCATTGAATTTCCTTATAATTTGATGTATTAAAGTAGTAAATAAAAAAAATTTCACCTGAAAAATTACATTAAATTGTGCAAAATTCAGAAGTAACGTGAAGCGGATTGATATGTTTTTGACGCAAGTCATTGTGATGTACTGGTAATACAGATTATACAATCAATTTTTCAGTCAATCAAAAGATACATCACAGCCTAAAGTAAATTATTTAAGAATGCACTCTAGCTGTAGTTTAAGGAGGCCGACTGGGGTTTTATTGTCACTGTGTGAAAATTATACAATTATAGAGAAACTCTTTTTATACCATATATATAACTTACTGTCAATGAACACATTCTAACAAAATGCAAATGAAATATTTTAATATTTTTTGACTTGTATCCATTATGAGTAGAAATGACAATGGTATCGGTTTAAGGACGCTCTAAACACTGCACAATAAAGAGCTTTATTTATTGGGTAGTTTTATGCAGATAGAGTGATCTGCCCTTAGATGTAAGATTACAGAAATCGTTATTTACCGTTAATTATATAATGTATAATTGATTAAAATATTTTTAGCTTTATATAAGACCAAGAGTAAGACATTTAATTAATTATTTTCATCAATTTTCCCACTGTAAGTTAACAACACTGATTTCTGCTCACAAATAGTCCATTGTCTTTGAACATTTTTCTTGTGCAAATATGGCTCTACCCTATGTTCTAAATGAATGAAAAAGTCTCAATATGCATATCTTTATACAATATATTTTTCTCAAAATCCAAAAAACAGTTTCTGTTGGTGTTTAGAGCTTCCTTAAGTTTCTATTTATTATAAGTTACATCTAAATACAAAACACATGCCTCAGAAATGTCGTATTTTTTCTTTATTAATGGATGATAAATTTTGGGATTTCGCTCTTTTTCATATGTCTTAGTTCTTCTATTCTTTAATTGTAATGACAAATACATTCAACATTAAAACTGGATTGAGATTAGTATGTTTTGTATTATCCGCAAAAGGTAGCTAAACACAGTTTCGTATAAAATCCGGGGGTTTTTCCCAGAGAGAAGCATGCTGGGTAGGGATTTTCCTGCTATTTATAGGAGTCTAGATGAAAACTGCATTTTTTTTGTTTTTATTCGCATAAAGTAGAGTCTTATCTTAATATTTAAAGAAAAAAATGTGCATTCATTTTTAGAAAAAAAAAAATTGTGAGACTTTTTAATAGGGGGAGATAACTCCCAAAACATCCAGTTTTCACATGTGCAGAATTGCATGAGTCAATTAGCAGGTAATGTAGCTCTTTCAAGAGGTGGAAAATGTACCCTGAAAGCACACTAAAAGAAAACCTTAGGACTTGTTCTGTGAAATGCATGCAACTTATTTTGTCTGATTTTTTCTGTTTTTGTTGAGCAGGGGGGTTAAAAATGCATAGGTGCACTGAAAATGGATGCATAAACAACCCAATATCCCCCTTATTTCAGGTGTCAAATACCCCCTAGTAGTAATTGATGAATGTATTAGAGTTGGATATTTACAAAATTCACAATCTTTTCTTTCCATTGATATGCAGAAGTCTATGTAACAAGCCTCCATTTTATTTTTTTATAGGGGTCAGTTTTGCATGTCCCTCACCAAGTAACGTCCTGACAACGTCATACATAAAACTGTGTTTTGCACCCAAAGGCATGCCATGCCAATTAGATGACCAAACGGGCCTCTTATTTTGAAGAGTTCACCAATAGAAATGGAACATCCTGACTGGTAGCCTGAATAACATTCATACAATAATGTAATTATAATGTATGTACATATTAATAAATAAGGTATCATTTTTAAACATCTATCGGGATATAAATACGAGTTGGTCATGAGATTAAATTCCATAAAGCCCGAAGGGCTTTATGATGAATTTAATCTCGTATCAACCCGTATTTATAGCCCATTAGATGTTTAAAAATGATACCTTATTACTTATATTTACATTTGTGACTTATTCATACACTGATTGTGACTTTTAGCGTGTGAAATGCGTAATTTTTCAAACCCAACGGCATGTATGTAATCCACTGATCGCGCGTCAACCCTTTATGACGTCACAGAGAAATTACGTCAAACGTTTATCCATACGCACATCTATGACCCCTTGACCCTGTACCTGTATTTATATAAGAAATAAACAACGTTATTCAGTGAACATGGCGTTATGAATAGCAATTGCTCTGCTGGCATATTCCATGATGCGCGCTAGCGTATCATGGAAAATATGCCAGCAGAGCAGTTGCTATTCATAATGCCATGTTCACTGAATAATCGTTGTTTATTACTTATATTTGCATTCTTTGATTTTTTAAAAGAAAATCAGAGGAAATCCTGACTTACATAAGGACGCGGCTTCTTGTCTTCAGTAATGGAAAACATACAGCTTTAAAATAATTACACCTGATCAATGATTCTTTTCTCTAATGCATCACAAACAATTTATAAAGTATTCCCCTCTCAAACAGTTATCTGGATACAAGCAGGGCCGTCATCACATTCTCTAAATTTTTGTTTTGATGCAGTTGTGACGTCATCGATCAACGTTATTGAAACCCTCCGACAAAAATCAATAATTTAACATTATGATGAAAAATGAAGATGCTTTTATAATGATTATTATTCCAGAATGTTTTTCTTTGATTTTATTTTTTTAGCTTTTCATATCTATTTTTAATAGCTGAAATCATTCTTGAAGTAGATATACTAGTTAAAGAAATTTCCTCTTTCTGAGTGTTATTACCCAAGTGTGAAGAGTTATCTTTCTTTGTACAAATATATATGATATGAAAAAATAAAAATATGGCAGTTATCTACAATTTTAAAAAGTTTTATTTTACAATTAAATACATTGACCAAAATTGAATTTTTAAACATATAAATCAGCAATTTTAAATAGTCTGAATTTCTTTTTTTTTTAAGAATATTATTAAAAACTTATTTTTATTCCTTTTATGAAACATTTCATATATATAATTCTCAGCACGCTATGTAAATGTAGTAGAATTTGTTCTACACGAATGTAATGGAGCAATTGCACTCATAGCAGAAGCAATAGACGCTAGAAGCAATTGCGTCTATCGTCCTATGAACGCAATTGATGACTGCATGTTCATAGCGGGAGAGAGCAATGGATATGCAAATATACAGTTATAGATACGCATTGCTTTCATTAGTGTTATATAAAGGAAAACATTTGCAAATGTAAACATATGAGCCGCCCCATGCAAAAAGGGCCCTTAAGGTTAAAATTTTCAAAATTGACTTTTCAATGGATTATGATAGCACACAGTGTAAAATAACCAAATATCAAGTTTCATTCAAATATTCCAACTAATGACTGAGATACAGGCAATCAAAGTTTCAGAAAATATTGAAAAGACGCTAAAAATGATGTTAAAAATGGGGTTCTAAATGGCGCTTAATCATTGAATCATTTTATTTAGGTATCGGTTCCCGGATTGAAAGATCTTAAGCTTTTTTTGCTTTTGTTTTACATGCACTATTTGAAATAAATGTTCTCGTAAAATTAATTCTAAACAATGCACTACTAGTAATTGTCACAACCAATCTAATGATAAATTTTAAATACGTACATATGTATATAAAGCCATACAGGAAAGAGGACGTATTTTGGAATCGATATCAGACAAGACGTGTAAGTACATTTAGGAAGTGTCAACATTTTCGCAGGTTACAGAATTATTGTCTCTCTGGTTATTCTAAATATACATGAATTTGAAAAATCTGATTAAAAAATGAATAAATTCATGAAGTAATTTTTTTTACTAATAAAACACAGATAATGATTTTGCAGCGGTAAAAATGCTTTCGGTTTATTCCTAAAAACGCTATAAATAAGCTTGCAATGTCATGTTTGGCATGAATATTAAAACAGGGAAAACGAATACGCGAGTTATATATATTTTTGTAAGAAATAAAAAAATATATATATATATTCAAACGATACCCGGTATTTTACAGGGAAATAAGTATTCAGTCTCCCAGATAAAATTTCAAGGAGATTGTTATTTTTTTAAAAATATTTTAAGTATAGATAATATCGCTTTATTTATTTGTATATTACTTTTGTAATTAGAAGCAGGTATGTACATCATGCACGTACATGATGTATTGTACGTCCGGGAGGGGGGAACTTTACATTTCCAAATATAATATTTGTTGAATTAGTCTGAAGATGTTTTCTAAAGAACCAGCTGCCCCAACCCCCTTGTATAGCGTCAATGTCTCTATTAAAAAATAGGGCCGTTTTTTTATTTGAAGTATTTCTTTCTTTTTTAGGGGGGGGGGGGGGGGGGCGTCTCAAAGATTTTTTTTTCATTTATTTTCCCGACTCTCCCCGCTACATTAAAAAATTACAACGTGTCTGTGATGTCAAATAATTTTGTACTTAAATACAATGTTGACTCGTGTCAATTTGGCCGTGACGGAGGCAAATCGTCATTTTTGACGTTTATACGGACAAAATATATGAGACGTAGATGCAAAACAAGGTAAACAACTGAGACAGTTGTTTACCTTGTTATGCATCTGCTTTACGAAGAATTGATCATCAAACTTTTTCAAATTCTTCGGCCTCACTAGACCTCAGCAAAATATTAATCGTGAATGTGAACAAACCTGAAGGTTAATTGTGGTATTAAAAGAATTTCTTTTGTAAAAAATTTCACTTCAGTTATGATGGTTTAGCATTTAAAAAGGAAGTGTACATGATAAATGCGGAATTACATGTACATGCAGGTACAACCTCTATCAAAACATAAACATGGGATAAGGCTAACAATAAAAAAACGTTTGATGTAC